CCAACAATTCATTGAGGAATATGAGCGCCTCGGACACATAATACGACTCCACTAACCTGTGGAAAAAACGATACCGTACTACTATCTCCCGCTTTATCCCGTATTTAAGCTCTCGAGTACCACAGTGAAGACGAAAGTAAGATGCTTCTGCACAAGGAATCAAATGGTGCAATGGTGCATCCGAATCGATAGCTAGCTACAAGTTGCAGACCTACGACACAAAATCTCGAAGAACTGGCGATTGATGCAGATCGCTTATTCCCTGCCGGTGTGGAACCCGTAGCCGAGAACTTCTACCTCGATGACTTTCTGTCAGGTGCCGATGATGTTGAGTCAGCCGTCGGAATTCGACGTGAAGTATCAGCGATGCTCGATTCTACTGGAATCCCGATGAAGAAGTGGGCTTCGAACTCCGGCGAAGTCCTTGAAGACATTCCACCAGAAGATCGATCAATCCAGTCATGGCACGACCTGCAAGATCCGCAATCCGTCACCACTCTCGGTCTAATCCGGGAACCCGAGACAGTTACCACTTCCACTACTTGGCTCAAATCTTAGATCCATTGGGATTTGTGGGTCCCACTGCTACGAAATCCTTCGATAATGAACGCTATGATTGGGACTAACCACACTACCATCGACCTGCTTCATGAAGTAGTCGATTTGCTCCCATCACTGACGCAGTAAGCAGATAGATCTATTTATTCATTGATGCATCAGATAAGACCTACGGGACGTGTTGCTATCCGTGGAACTGCTGGTCTCCAAGTTCGCAGCTCATCTTTCCACGCAGCTGTAGAAGAAAGTCGATGCTTCGTTGATAACGGTGTCCATCAAATCCAATCAACTACCCCAGTCGATAAGTGGAATCACGTAGCTGACGACATCCAACTGAACTTCTCAACAAGGCAAGATGGTGAAATAGTCCATACTGGTTGAATTTTTCACCTGAACTTACACACTTAGAAAAATTGATGTAAATTTAGATGCTCTGAGTCTGACATATACGAGCGTCAATTTGGACATAAAATTGAGTCATAATAGACACAAAATTCAGCTCAATCACACGTACTTTTGAGCTTTTCAGAATCGGAGCACTTAATTTTACATTGCATGTTTGTTTTCGGCTCATCCTTTATGTCAAATATGGATTCCGTCTCGTGTAAGATTAGGTATTTCTAAATGTGTAGGCCTGTGGGAGCGCTTCCAACGAAAGAAACGACAGAAGTGTTCCAGGAATGTCGCAAGATTCTCATCCAAAGCACATTCGACGAAGATTTCTAGATAGAGCTGGAATTAGGGCGTAACAGCCTTTGTAAACATTTCTCTTGAGGATTTCTCGAAAGTCATGGTTTTCCCTGCAAATCAACATCACCATCGAGTAAGGTAAGACTTCTCCTACTCGATGGATATATTGGTTTGTGTAGGCATGCCTTGAATTCCTAGAAATCAACGAGAGAAGTCATTGTTTAAAAAGGCTGTTACGCCCTAATTCCAGCTCTATCTAGATTTGTTCTCCAAATACTCCAGCTTTTCTCAACTCCGCCATATGATGACATGGTGGTTGCGAATGCGTTCGAATGCAATCAATCCAGGTGGTCAACTGAATCGTATCAGTTACTTAACTGTGACGAACTCCTCTCGGCTGACCGAGTCCTGTGCTGACTAGCGCAGCTGGAGATGTCCCAAGAAGAGCGCAACGATCTTGTTGCGTGTACAAACGTATCGAAATAGAGTCCGTTTGAAGTGGTTGCGCCCGGATTTATCCGCGTTGGAGGACGCCTTGACAAGGCCGAACTGCCCGAGTTTACCACCTATTGTCCTAAACGCCAACCATCCATTCGCGAGCATGCTCGCTTTGCACTGTCACAAAACGTTGCTTCACGTTGGTTGGCAGTTGATGCTGGCTACGCTCCACCAGAAATTTTGGATTATGGGCGGACGAATCCAATGCATCACTTGCTTTCATAGTAAGCCGAAGTTGAATCAGCAAACTGTAGTAGATCTAGCAACATCCCGTGTCACTCCAACGGGTCCTTTCTCCTTCTGTGGCGTAGACTACTATGGACCGTTCTCTGTCAAGTCGGCAATACGGAAGCGAGGTCCAATGAAGGTGTATGTGGCCATTTTAAATTAGTCCGTGGGTCGTCAGATACGGCATTGTCTCTGGAATTCAATGTTTGTTCAAATGACTGACTGACTGACTGACTGACTGACTGACTGACTGACTGACTGACTGACTGACTGACTGACTGACTGACTGACTGACTGACTGACTGACTGACTGACTGACTGACTGACTGACTGACTGACTGACTGACTGACTGACTGACTGACTGACTGACTGACTGACTGACTGACTGACTGACTGACTGACTGACTGACTGACTGACTGACTGACTGACTGACTGACTGACTGACTGACTGACTGACTGACTGACTGACTGACTGACTGACTGACTGACTGACTGACTGACTGACTGACTGACTGACTGACTGACTGACTGACTGACTGACTGACTGACTGACTGACTGACTGACTGACTGACTGACTGACTGACTGACTGACTGACTGACTGACTGACTGACTGACTGACTGACTGACTGACTGACTGACTGACTGACTGACTGACTGACTGACTGACTGACTGACTGACTGACTGACTGACTGACTGACTGACTGACTGACTGACTGACTGACTGACTGACTGACTGACTGACTGACTGACTGACTGACTGACTGACTGACTGACTGACTGACTGACTGACTGACTGACTGACTGACTGACTGACTGACTGACTGACTGACTGACTGACTGACTGACTGACTGACTGACTGACTGACTGACTGACTGACTGACTGACTGACTGACTGACTGACTGACTGACTGACTGACTGACTGACTGACTGACTGACTGACTGACTGACTGACTGACTGACTGACTGACTGACTGACTGACTGACTGACTGACTGACTGACTGACTGACTGACTGACTGACTGACTGACTGACTGACTGACTGACTGACTGACTGACTGACTGACTGACTGACTGACTGACTGACTGACTGACTGACTGACTGACTGACTGACTGACTGACTGACTGACTGACTGACTGACTGACTGACTGACTGACTGACTGACTGACTGACTGACTGACTGACTGACTGACTGACTGACTGACTGACTGACTGACTGACTGACTGACTGACTGACTGACTGACTGACTGACTGACTGACTGACTGACTGACTGACTGACTGACTGACTGACTGACTGACTGACTGACTGACTGACTGACTGACTGACTGACTGACTGACTGACTGACTGACTGACTGACTGACTGACTGACTGACTGACTGACTGACTGACTGAATGAATGAATGAATGAATGAATGAATGAATGAATGAATGAATGAATGAATGAATGAATGAATGAATGAATGAATGAATGAATGAATGAATGAATGAATGAATGAATGAATGAATGAACTATTTTAAACGCCAAAGTCACGAGTTGAAATCTCACCCCAAACAAGTCGCGAATAACCCAAGAGCGTTAAAATGACTATAATAAAAAAAAACTATTTTAAACAAGTGCAATTACATAAGCGAAAATCTCCATCTTAGAGCCCCTTGGTGGGACTTTGTATGGGAGCGAGCAGTCAATTCGTTAGTATAGTGTCAAACAGTGAAGTTATTTTTTTGCTTTAAATCTCTATTATTAACATATCGGTTTTAAAATTTATGAACTCAATCATAATAGGTTAATAAATTATTGAAAATAAAATAATTTGCGAAGTTTTTGAATAAAATCGAAGAGAGAATTTACCGAAAACTACACGCGTTTAAACTCAACAATCTTGTACGCAAAACTAACACTTGTGAAAGAATGGAAAGACACCTGAAAATTGATTTTCAAGCTCCGGTGGGACCTTAATTGAAGTATTTTCCCGTTGATATTTAAAGGAAAATAATTATGCATCGGAAACTGAGTGGTCGATCACTTTCAATATTCAAGTTATTTTGCTTGAAAAATACAAATTATCTTGCCTTTCCAACGCCGCTCATTGGCACCTTTTTTTCCAGAGTGAAAATGAGAACTCGTTAATGACATTCTCATTATGTGATTCTAACTACTTGAATGAGCCAATATATTGTGAAGTTCGAAATACGCTTTAAAATGGTTATCAAGTAAGAAACTGATCACTATCAAGTCAAGTATCACTGCTTTCCCTAAAATCCGTTTATTTTGATGTTTAAATTTTACTTTTGAGGAGTTTCACAATCATTAGTGATTACTGCAATTGAACTAATCGTACTTTTTCATTGGTATGAATACATTTTGACTAAAAGGCTTATAGATACACTTGATTTATAACTATACAATTTAATGTAAGGATAACATTTTGAGTGTTGATCTTAATTCTTTATCTTTCGAACGAATCTGTTTAAGTGACGTCAGCCTTGGTGTTGGTCGTGATCATTGGATTTTTTTTGACATCCATTTCGAGTGATTCCGCACCACGTAGATCGCAAATACTAAAATTGAAGAGGAGGTCACCTCGGTTGTCCATTTCCCCTAAACAACAAAACTCCCAGCACAAATGCGCTTTTGTGCCACCACCCGGACATCCGGAACAAAACAAGCGAACGCGAAAAACTGGGTCGGCGAAAACCATCCATCCCTTCCGATTTCGCCTTCGTCACTGCAGCAGACAAACACACGCCAATTGCCATGCCGCGTGGAGGCGAATTCGCTCACCTCTCAGTGTAAGGTTATGTTTGAAAATATTTACCTTTAGGAAATCCCCCCATTCTGCGCCTGTGCGGTATGCAACAGAATAACAACACGCTGCTGGCGAGATGAGAGCTGGAGAGCATCCTTTGCGCTCAGCTGTTCCGGAGCAAGTGTGAGAGCCACGGGGAAATCCAAAGGTAAAAAGCATTCATCTTGCATCGCCGAGGCGTCAATCTGACTGCGAACGTCGAACGGAACGGTCGTCGAAGGGTTTTCGCATCTTGCGGTTCATTGGGATATCTGGATCCACTCTGAACTATACTTTGAAACGAGCAGGAATAGTACATTCCCACGGGTATTACGTAAAGAAAGTCGTACGTGCGTGCTTTCGGGGTCGAGACGGTCCCTGCGGGATAGGCAACACCGCACTTCGTGTGCGTACGGGTGGAAGATTTTTCCTCGTGATTGATTCTCCGCTTCCATCGCAGAATCCGGTGTCGTAGTCGTCGCCGTCGCGAGGGTTGCAGCAATCTAAGGCGAAAACGGGAAGAATCGTGCGAAAGTGAATCCCGGTGCTGTGCTGTGAGTTTGTGTGTGCACTTTCGAGTGTGTAGTGGCACGAAGAAGAAGCAAGTGAAAGTGAAGGAAGTAAAGTTGATTAAGTGATTTTCCTTTTGCGGTTCATTTGAGCTTCGGTGCGGTAATTGGTGATCTTGGTTCGCCTCTGCCTTCGCGAAAGGGAGACAACGGCGACACGCTTTCTTCGATATATAGCGAGCGAACGAGCGTGGTTTGTGTGCTATTTTTGGTGTTGTGCGGGCCAGTCTAACTAGAAGGCGTGAACCGAGTCGAGAATGACGATGATGGTGATGAAGAATTTGGCGGTTCTCTGTGGACTGTTGCTGTTGCTGGTTGGAGCGGGCGTAAACCCGGGAGTCGAGGCCAGAGCGGTAAGTGTGCGACTTGGTTTTCAAATATTGAAAAGCGGGACCGTTTCCAGGGCCATTAATAATAAATCAAATCTACGTCGGTCAAACAGAGAAAAGAAGAAGTAGATTGCATGGCATTCTCAATGTGTTGCCGGAGCTGCTCGGGGTTCGAGTTTGAATATTTCATTGGGTACCATCGGGGATCGTTGAATTTTGTTTTTATTGAGCAACGAATGGCCATGTCAAAGCGGCCGGCAGAGAGAAGCTGAGATATTGATTTTCCACTACTGTGCGGAGTCCTTGGGAAAAAACAGCAGCAAGTGAAGGGGAGTGAAGTCCCAGTGGTGGGGAGGAGCTTGGTGTTCTATTTGCTACACAGTTCGGATACGGTTTGATTCTGGGCCCGTCGTACCTTCGGTGGACGATTGATGGAATGTTTTTGTTCTGCCTCCTTCGGCGAAGGAGGTGTCAATTCCCGCTGGATTGCGGTCGTTGGTTGAGAGTTGAATCTGAATTTCGAGAAGTAGTGTTTTATGGATTTTGGACTGAAGGTGGATGGTTTTATGATTTGATTTATGGTACGATTTAGGTGGTGAAAACCAACTTCAGTTCTATAACTATAAGCTTGATGTTATGTACTTTAGTATCTGATGTTAACCAAAGTGGTGGTATGGGTGATTGCCTCTCACCCCAAAGGGCCTGGGTTCAATCCCCGTCGGTGCAGCTGGGGTTTTCTGAGGCATAAAATCTCTGATCACGCCTGAGTTGATGGGTCGATGGGTAGGGTCCAGGTGTGGGAGCTGCTTCCCTGGCGTCGGTAGCATTGGTACTCAGTACGGAAAAGAAGATCGACGGAAAACAAATCAAGGGAAAAAATAAAACCAAAGCAAAGCACTCTCAACAGAAACGTAATATTCGCTCAGTTCCAGGGATGGATCGCTCTTTTGGGGCATTTTCATTACTTTTTATTATGTAATGCTTACGTTAAATCTAATTGATTTTTCAGTTAAATCTTAAAAGAGATAGTTTAATGGTATTACTCTGCCTATCAAAATGCAAAATTTCCACACCTCACAGCCACATTCTGTGTTTTCACTGAAGGTGCACTTGAGGCAAAAATTTTCCGGTTATAGGGGTCATTGGCCAATTTATCACAAGAATTTAACTCTTTCTGTAAACATGTGTGGTTCTGTGTGGTCACTTTCATAGCTCGCTAAGTTACGTGGGTCAAGGTTTTCGATGAACAGCTTTAATCCATTGGGCAGAGTTTTGATAGAATGGAGACCAGACAGTGGCTGAATATTCCAGTATAGGACGAACAAGAGAACAATATAACGCCTTCAGGCAATACACGTCCTAGAAGCTTTTGGCGAAACGGAATAAAAATCCTAGGTGCGATGAAACCTTGGATATGGCATTGGGGATTCATTGGGTATAAAACCGATCCTGTGAAATGCTATGCGAGCAGACTTTAACCAACTTATTCAGAACAATTAGCTCATATAGTCTGGAAATTGCACTTAGTGCAGCTATATCGCGGTAATTAGCAACTGTCCGTTTGCACCCCTTTTTATGAATAGGGAAAACAAAAGAATCCTTCCAGCACTTGGGAAAAACGCTAGAGGTCAATGACAGCTTGAAGACCGTGGTTAAGGGCGTCGCGAGAGTGTTTAAGCAGTGTTTTAGGACTAGTGAGGGAATACCATCGGGACCAGATCCCGTTGAGGCTTTCATCTGCTTCCCGGCTGAAATTTGACTGTGGAAATGTGGGACGTTACTAGAGGCAGATGAAATATCCTGTGCATTAAGAATTTTGTCTGAAAAAAACACTGCTGAATTGCGTACGACACAAGTTGGCGATATCGACAACAGAGTTGACATCCGTAACGCCGTCGGTCATACTAGAAGGTAATCCTGTTTCTTTCCGTTGCTCGTTCACATAGCGCCAGAAATCCTTAGTATTCGCTTTGAGACGACTCTGCAATTGAGACTGATGGGCATTGTATAAGCTAATATTGAGGCGTATCTAGTCGAGATATTGACTAATTTATTTATTGTCATTTGCCTACGACCAACCTACGTTCCTAATACTATTTTTAAAACAATTTTTAGTTATACTAAAGTCAAAACAGTAACTAATGTTGTTAAAAGCCCTGAGCCAGGAGCAAAATGGGCTGTTGTACCCGTAGCTACTCCTATGTTGTGAAGCAGTAATTGTTAGGATTTCTTCCAAACCAACTCTATGGAAAATCAGCTAAAGTTTTTGGACTGATCAAAGCTGAAATATATTCACATTTGATAACTTTTTCTTAACACTTTTTAACCTTAATTAGCTACTTACAAATTTAGTTTTCAATCCGAGTTTCAATCCTCTTGCAGATCGGATTCCGTTCGGACTATCAGCCACTAACTAGCCTTACTTACCTTACCAATCAGGCTAAGGCCTTGTTGTCCTCTGCTGTCCGAAGAAGTCGTCTCCACTCTACTCGATCCATGGCCACAGTTCGCCAGACTCGTAGTCTGCGAAGGGTCCGCAGGTCACCTTCTACTTGATCGATCCACCTTGCCCGCTGCGCGCCTCTTCTTCTTGTTCCTGTTGGGTCGCTTTCTAGAACCATTTTCACTTGGTCGTCGTGCGGCATTCTTACGACGTGCCCAGCCCACCGTAGTCGCCCAATTTTTGCAATGTGGACGATGGATGGTTCTCCCAGCAGCTGATGCAATTCGTGGTTCATTCGCCTCCTCCACGTTCCATCATCCATCTACACTCCACCGTAGATGGTACGCAACACCTTCCGTTCGAAAACACCAAGGGCGCGTTGGTCTTCCACGAGCATAGTCCAGGTCTCGTGGCCGTAGAGGACCACCGGTCTTATCATCGTCTTGTAGACAGTCAACTTCGTGCGGCGGCGAATTTTATTCGACCGGAGCGTCCTCCGGAGTCCAAAGTAGGCACGATTCCCTGTCATAATGCGTCTTTGAATTTCTCTGCTGGTATCATTTTCGGCGGTCACCAGTGAGCCCAAATACACGAACTCATCGACCACCTCGATTTCGTCACCGTCAATCTGAACTCGGGGTTGGAGGTTAACATTGTCTTCCCTAGAACCTCTTCCTTTCATGTATTTTGTCTTTGATGCGTTGATGGCAAGTCCAATCCGTCTAGCTTCAGCCTTGTTATTGTACACGTTCGATGCGGATCACTTGAGCCGCATGATAAGGTGCCCAAATCGGAGAAGCGTATTCGAGAATACTACTCACCAACGCGCAGAACAGTGCTTTCAACGCATAAACGTCAGTGAATTGCGAAGCGTTGCAACGGATGAATCCAAGAACAGAGAAAGCTTTAGCTGTTATGGTGGCAATATGATCATTGGACCTCAGAAGAGGACACGCTACCCTGAGGAACTCCAGATGGTATTTGAGAATGCTTTGGAACGTGCAGAGTTGACCAGAATGAATACTTTACGACCAGTCAGATATGACTTCAACCAGTCCGTTGTCCATTCCGGGAAACTCATGTGTTTCAGCCTCTCAACGGCGTAGGTATGTAGCACAGTGTCAAACGCCTTCGAATAGCGACGTAAATAGAATCAACCTGATTCTGACGTTCCAATCTCTCGGAATAAACTACTCGTGTAACACATCAGATTACATTCAAAGTGTTTTTATGTTACTTCATACGCGAAGTTTTCGATTTTCAGAGTTGGTTGGAAATGCTATCATGAAGCTTTAGTGTGATAATTTATTAGCTAGGGAATGATCTTTAAAAGAGGGTAGGTGGATAGTTCTTTTAGAGTACGGCAGTATAAAAATTGAATAACAGTTGAAAATGAGCGAAGGGTCATTAATGCGACAGTGCAAATTCGAACGCACACCTTTTGCCTAACCCGTACGATGTACGCGGACATTTGAAGTATGTCTTCAAATCTACAGGCAAAAGGTGGGCGTCCGCCCTTGCTCATTACTGTCTGCGCCTGTGGAATAGTTCTAGCGACGTTTCATCACTACCTAAAGCCCCACGTAGCGCAAATCGCAAACTTCACGTATGAAGTAACATAAAAACACTTTGAATGTAACAACTCAAGGCGGGAGTAGCCGTCAACAATGCTGATGATGGTACAGCACGCAATAACCACCCTACTGCTTTCTCTCTGAGATGACCAAGTTGGTCATGACGAGAGGAGCAACACAATAGCTGGGTAAAGAAGAATTGCATTATAACACACCATCGACTGGAAATGCTCTCGCAACGTGGGGCCGTGAAACGTCGCTAGAACTATTCCACAGCCGCAGACAGTAATGAGCAAGGGCGGACGCACACTTTTTGCCTGTAGATTTGAAGACATACTTCAAATGTCCGCGTACACCGTACGGGTTAGGCAAAAGGTTTACTTCGACTTTGTACTGTCGCATCAATGGCCCTTCGCTCATTTTCAATTTCTATTCAATTTTCATACTGCCGTACTCGTAACGAAACTATCCACCTACCCTCTTCTAAAGATCATTCTCTAGCTAAAAAATTATCACACTAAAGCTTCATGTTAGCATTTCCAACCAACTCTAAACATCAGATTAGTTGTTGTTGAGCGACGAGGAACAAAACCCATACTGGTATTCAGATATCAGCGGTTTTGCTGCAGTCAAGATGACTTCGTGTACTAAGGATTCAAGGATCTTTCCTAGACAACAGAGTATCGAAATTCCACGGCAGTTTTCGACACGTTGAAAGCTGCCAGATTTGTGAATGGGAATCATTGAAGCAGTTTTCCACAGCCCTGGGAACGTTTTTTTCTTCCATTGATCGATTGTACAGCTGTGTCAATGGATCTACTAAAGAAGCAGCACACTCTTTCAGTAGATATGGTGACAAGCCGCCGACCCCAGCTCTCTTTGACACGTCGAGATTTATCAAAGCTTTCTGTACTTCCTCTCGAGAAAAATTTAGGACAGGCAGCAGTACATCATGGGAAGGTATATTTTGGAAACAATCTGGGTGAATTTGAGGCGACGTTAAACTG